CTCCTACTCAGAGCATCCGCAACTACGTTATATCTTCCCTTGACTTGTTTGAGCTCAAAGTCATACTGATCTATCTCTGCGGCCCACCTAGTAAGCGTAGGTGTCATCTTGGCCTGCATCTTTAACCATCTCAACGTCTCATGATCGGAATAGACTTTGAAGTGCCTCCCAAGCAAGTAGTGCTTCCAGTTGTCTAAGGCTTGCCTGAGAGCGTAGAGTTCCCTCTCATAGGTAGATGTCGCGACCTTCTCAAAAGGCATTCTGGCGGACATGAACTCTACGGGCCTATCACCATGGCCATCGTCGTGCTGCAACACAGCACCTATGTCGTACTGACTAGCGTCCGTAGTGACGACAAAGGGCAAGGACGGATCGGCTACCTTAAGGACTGGATATTCTATCAACGCCTGTTTCAGCTTCTTCATGGCAGACGTGCAGTCCTTATCCCACTTCCAGATGGTCTCCTTCCTGAGCAATCTGCGAAGGGGCGCAGCAATGGTGGAGAAGTTCCTCACGAACTTCCTATAGTAGTTGGCTAGGCCTAGAAACGACCGTAACTCTGTCAACGTACGCGGTGTCGGCCAATCTCTAATCGCTGCGATCTTGCTATCCTCTGGCTTGTCGTCTCCGTCTAAGACATGGCCTAAATACAAAACTTGGGTCTTTGCCCATTCGCACTTCTTAGCGTTGATTTTGAAGTTAGCTTCCCTCAGTTTCTCCAAGACCTGCCTGAGATGACCCTGATGCTCTTCGAGGGTCTTACTAAACATTAGAATGTCATCTAAGTTAACTACAACAAATCTATCTAACCAAGGCCTAAACAGGTCATTCATACACCGCTGGAAAGTTGTTGGCGCATTGGTTAGTCCAAAGGGCATCACTATAAATTCATAATGCCCATATCTAGTCCGGAACGCGGTCTTGTACTGATCATCAGGGTGAACCTCTATCTGATGATATCCGGACTTCAAATCTATCTTAGANTCATAATGCCCATATCTAGTCCGGAACGCGGTCTTGTACTGATCATCAGGGTGAACCTCTATCTGATGATATCCGGACTTCAAATCTATCTTAGAGAAATACTTGCACCCCTGCACTCTATCTAGGAGATCATCTATCCTAGGCAATGGCTCAGCATTCTTCACTGTAATAGCATTCAGACCCCTATAGTCTATACACATCCTTAGCTCTCCCTCCTTCTTGGGGACAAAGAGAACCTTTTTGAGGAGCTCGTCCAACTGCTTGCGAAGCTCCTCTAACTCCCGCGGGGACATCCTATACACAGTGCCGTTAGGAGTTCTACTGCCAGGCTCTATCTCAATACGGTGCTGGATGGGCCGCGACACTGTTCCCGTCGGCGGCTCAGCTAGGTCCTTGAACTCTTCCAGCAACTTGGCAATGGCAGGGTCTATAGGGTTTTCTTCCTTAGGCTCAGTAACTGGCCTAACATAGGCTACAAAGACCTGTTCTTCTAGCTGCTCCCTTTTCACTAATCGCGCAAATGCAGAAGCACTAAGGCAGTAATGTGCCAAGCGGTTATCTACTCCTGACGCATGGTACAGACGCGCAGTCTTGACATCGCCTGACGGGCTAGGGAGCCTACACTCATGCTCCCTCAAGTGGAGTGTGGCCCCGGCTGCCTCTCCCCAGTCCATACCCAGGACTATATCGAATGGGAGGCTATCCTCTACGAGGAGAGTCAGGGAATGTTCTCTACTTTCCCATCCTTCTCTAGGCGGAAATACGCCTGGACTCCCTCTACGTAGTCTTCTACTCGCATCGTGCGATTATCCGCAAGGATACTGACTACAGGGTCTGCTAACTTTTGGACTTTTAACTGCAACTTCAGCTTCTGCAGCGCCTTCCTACTAATATAACTACGAGTGGCTCCACTATCCACTAAGGCGCCAACTCTACCTCTAAAAATCTCTGTATCTACCAATATAAGCTGCCCTTTATTCTCCTTTTTCATCTTGGCATAGGCGGGCGTCCTCTCCTTCAACTCTTCAGCCACGCCTGTGAGGGAGGTTATTAGGGAGACCCTAATACAAGCAGTCTTTGGACGGCTATCTAGACATCGGCCTGCAACCTCTGCCATAGGCACATGTGGTGTGGGAGTCTCCTGTCGGCTAGCGCTATTTTCCCCACATGGCCTTATGGTAAGGGCAGTTGCTACCCCTACCGGAGGCTGCCTTTTGGCTCTTGAGCAGCCGTTCGGGTCTCTCGATACTTGGGACAGTATTTAATGATATGGCCCAGGTCACCGCAGAAAATGCACTGCCCCCGGTCCAATCGTTGTTGCCATAGACTCCGGTCCAGACCCAAAGTTTTCCAAGGCCTACCCTGTGGTAGCCCTGGGTGCCATCCTCCTACCCTATAGGGAGACCTGTTCCTAGGACGGTTTTGCGGGGGACCTTGACCCCTTCCTCCCGCTTGGCGGTTTCCTCCTCTGCCGCCAACCCCCTGATCGCCTTGAAACCGGCTCCCTGAGGCCCGGCCCCCTTGGCCCTGGCCTCGTCCTCCTCCTTGCGGCCTCCCTCCAGCCGCGACAACAGCGTAAGTTCTCCCCTGGCCCACACCGCTGTCCTCCTCCTCTAACCCCCACTCAATCTGGTCGTAGGGGATCTCATCCACACTACCCTCATCTAAAGTAAGGACAAGACTATCCTTAGTCTTCACTTGCCCAAAGATAGTGCGGCCTTTCCACTTCTTACCTTTGTCCAAGTCCTTGTGCCAGAAAGTGGAAACTGACACGGACTTTGCCTCAAAGGCTACCACCTCACGGCTAAGAGAATCATAGAAGGTGGCAGGGTCTTCGCTCTTCGCGAAGAACTGCCCTCGAAAGGCTTCGGGCATAGCCCGATAGAAGAGGGCAACCAACTGGGTGTCAGTGACCCCGTGGTCAGGTACAACCACTAACTCATCCATTGTGCTCTTGAGTGCCCTGGCACTCTTCCACTGACGAGAGTGGATCGTTTGCAGCCTGTCTGAGGCTTTAACACTACGAGCGACATCAGCAAATCGCTCGCGCAACAACTTCAGGAAGTCGATGAGGGGAGTGAACGACGAGTACGCAACTGCATCATCATTGCAGTTGGCAGCACGAACCAGGGACCTTGCGAAGTTGGCGGCCTCATCTCTATGCGCGTGGATCGCAATTAGAACATGCTGATCCGGGGAGACCTGTTGCAGATGCACATAGGTCTTGACATTGGCCTCCCAATTGTCAAAGTTCTCTTCCCGTTTTCCACTGTAGGAATCAGGGAATTTGACTTTGACCGACTCCCGACGAGGGCGTGCTTCCTCCTCCTTGGGAGCTGCCGCCTGGACGCCTTCAATGGCGCCAACACAAAACCGCTCAGTCTTGTCGAGGCGATGACCCACCTCGGCTCCTACAGCTCCCACCAATTCGCGAGCAAAGTCCCGAAATCCCAACCGTATTGAACGCACAGCTATATGCTGACTCCTACTGAAGTCATACTGCTCTGCCGGAATCCGCGCTAAGAGTGCAACATTTCGGACTATGACCTCCATTTTCTTTGGGAGCTCAGCCTGGGCGGCCAATTGCTCTTCTATCTTTTTTACCTCCTCCAATTCTTCCGCCGCATCTGCTGCCGCGTCCACTCTCCTCTTCTTCTCCCTCATCACTGCCAGTTTCCACTCCATCCTCTTCTCATCTTCCATCGCCTGCCGCTTTATGACATCTTCTTCTRYGTCCCAARCTYTCATAGCGGCTTCCTGATCATCCTTGGGGATATACATYGCCACTTCTTCTTCTTCGCCCAGGGATAAGTTGGCGACCCACTCCGAAATCCGTYTCTCCATCTCATCATCTYTGTTGCCACTSTACTGCCCTCTCTTCCTTTGCAGTGTCGTTTCATCTTCCTCCTCTTCCTCTTCCACCTCTTTCAGCTTCTCCTCTTCTTCTTTCTTTATTCTCTCCTTCTCTCTGGCCATCTCTTCCTCTATCTTCTTCAACTTCGCCGCCTGCTCCTCCTGTAGGGCCTTCTTCTTGGCCTCTTTCTTCTCTTTTCTTTCCCTCAGAATGGCGGCCATCTTCTCCTCCTCCTCCTTCGAATATGGCTTAGTGGAGGTACCACCCTGGTTGTCTACTCTACACGTAAGAGTGTGCCAGAACCCCAGGGGAAAGAGGAGACGCCAGAGGGTCCCCCAAAGGGAGAACCCAACAAGCAACCCATACGTCGGATAGTCATCCATCGTGGTGTCAGGTGCACAACAAGAGTCCCACTCCTCACCACTTAGACCTACCCGGACACTGACCCACTGACTGACTCTCTAAAATCACTACTCAAAACTACTCTAAGGCTGTCACTACTGAACCATCAGCTGATCTGGAGGCATTTAAGGAGATCCCCCAAACTCCGCAAGAATTCTTTAACGTCGCAGTCAGGACGACGTGATCAGCGTGGTTCTGCCTGTGCTTTCAACCCACAACTCAGCCTTTCCGGCCTACTGTGCCACACCGAGCAGCCCGCCGGTCTGTACCGGTCCTTGGAGGGGTTCGTATCCCTCGGGACAGTCGAGTCGTCAGACACAAATCATCAGCCTTACGTGGTCCGGTAGGGGGGTGGTTCAAACAGGCCCTCAATACTTAAAGACTGGCTGGTGTGTCAGCCTTAGCTGCCGTTCAGGCCCACTGAGTCCTACCAACCATTTCCAACCGGGCAGCACCGGTCCTTGGGAGGGTTATGCCCCCCTGGAAAGTTGGATCAGCCCCAGCCTCAGCCCTACAAGGTCAAACTAAGGTTTCGTCATCCAACCCTATCCTTCATCCACAGAGTCCTAACACCTAGGACAGAAGAGACTCAATGCAGAAAGGAAAGACAAACAGACTCAGACTCAGCAAGTACCGTAGGGTGTGTGCGCATCCACAGGGTAAGGGGATAGGCTAAGGGCTCAGCGAGATATCACCAACTCCAACTTGGTCAAAATCCTGGTCAGCAGCTCCGGTCAACGCCTTGGTCAACGCCGGGTCAACCCTCTGGTCAACCCCTGGTCAACGCCCGGCCAACCCTTTGGTCAACCCCTGGTCAACGCTTGGTGAACCCTCTGGTCAACCCCTGGTCAACCCCCGGTCAACCCTTCACCTCGGCTATGGCTGCCGGCACCTTCACCTTCGTCACCCTCGTCACTTCCTTCCCCTTCCTTCACCTTCTTCTTCCTCACTGTCTTTCTTCTGCTATTTTTTTATTTTTATTTTTGTTCACCCCCGGCTATGTCTGTCTTCTTCTTCGGTGTCCTCCTTCCACACTTCTCTCTCTCTTCTCAGTCCCTCCTTCTCTGTCCTCCCTCTCTCTCTCCTTCGGTACTCTGTGTTGATGCTCCGCGGCTATGGCCGCTGTCTTCCTTCCCCACCGGACTACGCAACTCGCCTCACAGGTAAGTGACAACCAATCTTGGATCACTCATCTCTCTCTCTCTCTCTCCCGCCGTAGCGGTATCTTCAGCGCAGCAGGTAAGAACCCAATCTTGTATCTCCCATCTCTCTCTCTCTCTCTCTCTCTCTCTCTCTCTCTCTCTCTCTCTCTCTCTCTCTCTCTCTCTCTCTCTCTCTCTCTCTCTCTCTC